ACTCGTTGGAATCTTGCGCCAATTAGGCGATCTCGTTGAGCATGTTTCTCGCGTTCTTATGTGATTTTGCTCTTCAATTTTGGGGATTGATGGTGTTTCTAGTGTTGCATGAAAAAATTTGGAAATTGATTTTTGTTTTAATGTTGAGTTTCATAGTATGTATGGATTGAACTCTGAAGAATGTGAGGATTGATTGAACTCTGAAGAATGTGAGGATTGATTGAACTGCAGGGGAAGAATTTAGGCAAGCTAAAGCCGTATTGTTTGTTAGTTTTTTTAAAAATTTAAGGGAATTGAATGTCTGAGAATGTAATTTCTTCCACCTCCCCAACGATCCAAGCAAGCTGGGTTCCTCGCGAACCCAGGCTCTTGGGTTCGCCTAGAGGTAAAAGAAAAAAAAGAAAAGCTGGAGGAAGGAGAAGCCGAGGAAGAAGACGAGGGTATATCAGTAATTAAAAGTAAAAAATTTAGCATGTCATTAATTTGCCACATGGATTTTCCACGTAATTTAATAAAAAAAATAAATAAATGTTTCCGTTAATTAACGTGACAAGTCAGCAAAATTTTAACGGAGGGACTAAAAAGGGACCGGATTTGTGAACAGTAAGGACCAAAATAGGGATTTTTTCGGTACAGGGACCAAAAATGGGCTTTTTCCTATAGTAGAGGGACCAAAAAGGGTATTTAACCATACAAATATATTTCTGTATATATATATCTCTCAGTGCTGTACTAATGAACAACAGAAAAAGGAATACAGATTCAGTATTCTTCACATCCCTTGCTTTTAAGTTTTCTTTCACTTCAATGCTTTCATCAGTAATTCGTGTCCTTTGTCTCTACACTTTTGCATTTGGTATCCAATGGGGGCCAAATTTCGAAATGTATGAAAAAAAAAATTACATGATGAGTATTGGTGCAGGAAGGACCTGAATGGAACCAAGATAAATTGGAAGAGACGCAGTCAGAATATACTTTCTTTCAAGCGTCGATCATCTCAAATTCTGTGTGTTGAATAAATGGTACAGCTTGCACAGCTTGCAGAAAAAGTAATGGCCTTATTATTATTATTATATTATTATTGTTATTATTATTAAATAATACCAATGGTTTGGTAAATTACAAACAAGAATTTTAATTAATATTTTTTAGATAATGTTTTGACCTTAAGTATTCAAATAAAAAAGGAGTATTTTAATTTATGTCTTTAATATATAAATTAAAAATATTTTTTATTATAAATATATAAAAAAATTATAAAAGTTAATATTAAATTTAGTATTAATGTTAAATAGGTAAATTTAATTAGATAATTAATAAATTAAATGTTAATTTTTATTTTTTAATATAAAATTATGATAAAAATATATATTAAATATATTTTTAATTTATATCCTTCGAATATAAATTAAGTAAAGGTTAAAACCCCAATTCAATCCCTCAACTTTCATTTTTGAACTAAAACTACCCTCGAACTTCAAAAAGTACTAAAAAAATCTTTGAACTTCAATTTTTGGGACCAATTTCGTCCTTCCGTCGACGGAAGTGCCAAATGGCACGTTAAGTTGCCACGAAATCAATTATTGTTTGAAATCTTTAATTACATGAAAAATAATTTATTATCCACATCATTTTAATTAATTTATATATTAAAAAAATTTAAAATTTCTTAAATACCCCCGATTAGCATTGATTATCTCTCATTGCTCCAGTCATCTCTTTCCACTCCAGTCACCATCTCCTTCTTCCCCAAACCTCCCAAACCTCCCAAACCTCCTCTCTAATGGAACCCGAATTTGGTTCCTCACACAATAATAATGGCTAATATATTTGATTCAAAAAATCAATTACACTGTAAACTTATACCAAATTTATAAAAATTCAACAAATTAATCATATTGCAAACTTATACCAAATCTGTAAAAGAAAAGAAAAATGCAAAAAATGCAACATCCCTTCAATTAACACCAACCGTAACTGAACCTTGAAATTCAAGCAAGCAGAACCCATATCAAAACTCTAAATCCCATACCAAGATAGTCAAGCATCACTATAGCCAACAAAGAAATAGAAGAACAAAGAAACAGAAGAAAAAACCCAAGCGTGTTCGACTTGAACCCGCACCCGGGTTCCATCGAACCCAAGCGCTGGGTTTGAAGGAACCTAGGGCTTGGGTTTGAGGAACCCGCGCCTAGGTTCCCGAACCCATGCTTGGGTTCCTCAACCCGCCTGGGTTCCATCGAACCCAGGCGTTGGGTTTGTAGGAACCCAGGGCTTGGGTTCGAGGAACCCGCGCTTGGGTTCTCGAACCCACGCCTAGGTTCCTCAACCCGCCTGGGTTCCATCAAACCCAGGCGTTGGGTTTGAAGGAACCTAGGGTTTGGGTTCGAGGAACCCACGCCTGAGTTCCCGAAGCAGCACCTGGGTTCCGTCGAACCCAGGTGTGCTGAGTTGAACCTGGGCGCTTGGTTCGAAGGAACCTAGGGCCTGGGTTCAACCTAGCACGCTTGGGTTCGAGGAACCCAAGCGTGAATGAAGGAACCCAGTAGGCAGGGAAGGAGAAAAAGAAAAAAAGAAAAAAGAAGGGAAAAAAGAAAAAAGATGATGAATTAAAGAGAGGTTGAAGGAGATCGCGAAAAGTGAGGGATTAGTGAGGTTGAAGATAAGGGTATTTTGGTAACTTCAACAAATATAAAAAATTGAAGATAAGGGATAATTGTGTAATTTTAAGGATAAAAATGCCAACTCATACACTTTTACATGTGGATTTTCCATGTCATTAGTTGAAAAAAAAAAAAGCTTGATTTCGTGGCAACTTAACTTGCCATCTGGCACTTTCATTGACGAAAGGACGAAATTGGTCTCAAAAATTGAAGTTTAAGGATTTTTTTAGTACTTGTTGAAGTTTGAGGGTAGTTTTAGTTCAAAAATAAAAGTTGAGGACTGAATCGGCGTTTTAACCTTAAGTAAATTCATAAAAAATAAACCCTAAAAAACCTTTTCTTTCGATTTTAAAATTAATTAAATTTAATATAATTTTTAAATATAAAGTAATACGTGACATTTAATTATATTATTTTTTTAATAAATTTCAAAAAAAGGAAAGATTGTTACGTAACCACCTTAAAGTAATTAATCGAAAAACAAAATGCTCCTGATTGGCCACTGTCTCTCTCGTCATCGTGAATTATAGTGTAACCCACATGAATCTCGAGGATCCTAAAAAGCAGCTATGAGCACCACCGCTGCACATGATCTCTCCGCCCTACCACGGCGGATCTCCGCTTCTATTTCTCCACAAATTATGCAGAAACAGTTTTAGAGAAGGATTTTTTTCTATTTTTTCCCTCTAAAAAAAGAAATGCCGTCCTCTTATGCGTGCCATTGAATTTACTCTCACTGGTTTTCTTCTTCCTTACTTGTGCTTCTCCCGTAATACAGAGATACGTATGAGTGGGCATAACCTGCAAATTCCTTGGTTTGATTCCCATGGCTTCTCCTTCGATTTCCTTCCATCACTCAAACCTCTCATTCTCATCGCCGTCTGTTCTGTTTCCTCCGCTGGCGTTTCCATCTAGAAGCTCGTCTTCCCTTTTATTCGTCAACCGTAATAGTGGTATTCATCGAATCTCACTTAAACTCGGCTCCTCTAGCCATCCACCGTCCGCGGTTTCGTCAGCATCCACCGCTACATCTGTGACTGTCGAGAATGCCTCTTCTGAAAACGTTGATGATTCAACAGCTTTTGTGATCCGCGCTCGCAACCGCATCGGTCTCCTTCAGGTCATCACCCGTGTCTTCCATGTTCTCGGCCTCCGAGTCGATAAGGCCACGGTGGAGGTGAAGGCCGAGGGCGATTCCTTTACCAAAACGTTCTTCGTCACCGATTCTCACGGCAACAAGATAGAGGATGAGGAGAGCTTGAAGAGGATCCAGAGGGCGTTGATTGATGCTATTGACGGTGAGGATTGGCCTGCAGACTCCACGGGCCCAGTGGCTAGGGGCATTTTGGTGAGAAGGCCTGGCGTGGGGATAGAGAGTGCGGAGAAGAGAACGAAAGCGGAGAGGATGTTTGGATTGTTGGATGGTTTCTTGAAGAACGATTCTATCAGCTTGCAGAAGGACATTCTACACCATGTTGCTTACACGGTGGCGCGATCGCCATTTAGTTTTGATGATTTTGAAGCTTATCAGGTAACTTAGGTCAACCAATAATGATGGATTTAGGAGTTTTTACATCTCTCAAATTTTGGCGGGAACAAGATTCTGTTGCCTTCGCCTACTACAGTGATGATAGGAAAACTAGTTGCTACTAAAAATTAAAGGAAACTCAGAGATTTTCTAATATGAAGTCAAAAAGCTGGATGAAAACAGGAATACAAATGTTAATTTGGGAATTTCAGTGTTCTCTTAAAATTTTGGCGGGAAACAAGGTTTGGTTTGCTTGTATGCTAATAATCAAATAAAAAAAATGAAAGAAAATTCTATGGTTACATACTGGAGAAAAGAAATAATGAAGATCTATTGTAATTGCTAAATTGCTGGTGATAATGCATGTTTTTTTAGCAGGCTGACCATTGCAGATTTGACTTGACAAGGACTGACTTGTTATTTAAGTGCTTGAGTTTGGTTAAGATTATAGAAGATAAGACTATTATGTTCTCTGCTCTTTAGTAATTTATTAATTTTGAATGCCTTCTAAGAGGTTGTGTTCATTAATTAGATTTTGATGTGAGGGAATTTGCAGGCTCTAGCACATAGTGTAAGAGATCGGTTGATTGAGCGGTGCCATGATACTCAAATCTACTTCAACAATAAAGACCCAAAGCGGCTATACTTCCTCTCACTTGAGTATCTTATGGGTATTTACAAACTTTTGTCAGAGTTCATTATGGTATTCTAGATTTGGTTGTTACATTGAACTTACTGATATATTATTAGTTCTTGGTGACAAAGTAGTATTTCTCTTAGTCAAGGTCTACCATAGTTTCTTATGCATCTTTAAGGTGATACTTTAATTTGTGAATGCTATGCTGCATTTAGACTTCCTTGATTATGATTGCTTTTTCAAGTTAGTTGTAAAATTTTGTGATGTAGAGTTTTTGATCCTTTTCTTGAATTCCTTGACTAGAACACGTTAGATTTAAATTGTTTCCTTGAAGTAAAGATGGGCATTGAGATACGTTGTTGAATCAAGAAGGATGGCTTTCAAAATCATTCCTATGTGCTATTGTAATCCCACAAATTTGCTTACATTTGGGGATATCCTGCCTGAAAAATGTAGCTTTCCTTGATATTTGGTCATTAGTCATTTTCCTCCACCCTTTTTTGCTCTTCTGTTTGCATCCTCCCTTATATAATTGTCTTTCAAAAAAAAAAAAAAAAGGCATTTGAAGGCACTGCTGTGTGTGTCTTCTCATGTTTGTCTTTTGTTTCTTCCATCTCCTGTCTCTGCAACATATTCATGTAAATTCACATTTATTTTACAGTGAGGGCTTTTCTGTTTTGAGTTCACTGTTTGGATTGGCATGTTCTCACTGCTGTTTAGATGTTATTACTTAATTCTAGAGCATCTTGTGCATTTTATTTGCTTGAATTGGATTTACTGAATTCCCATCCTCTTGTGGTTTTTACATTCATCAGTTATTTTTTTGAATTCCTAGCCACTTCTATTACCTGCTAAAACAGCAAGCATTAATTTTAATTTCAGGTCGTTCCTTGTCAAATAGTGTTATCAACCTGGGTATCCGAGATCAGTATGCAGATGCTTTAAACCAGCTTGGTTTTGAGTTTGAGGTTGTGGCAGAGCAGGTTAGCTTGAGATTCCTTTTTCCTTGATTGATTCTTCCATTAGACAGGTGAATCCTAGTATTAGTATTAGCAAGTTACTTTGAAGTAATACTTAGTTAGTGGTTCACTATCAATACTTCTCTCTCTGTTTTTTCATCTGAACTGTTTGCTTTTTGTAATTGCTGTACAACCCCATTTATCTCCCTTAGCTTATTTATTGTGATGTACTAAGGAAGGAGATGCTGCCCTTGGTAATGGTGGCCTTGCTCGTCTTTCAGCATGTCAAATGGATTCTCTAGCAACTTTGGACTATCCTGTATGGGGGTATGAGCCTAATTTCAATTAGCAACTTGATTTAAGATTTTGTGGTCAAATTAAGTCAAGATTAGTTCATATGGGGACCTCATCTCTAACTTTCATATCTTCAAATGATTTTCATGCAAAAGGCCATAGAAAATTTAAATTGAAAATCTCCATATAGTAATTTGCTGAGAGGGATTATTTAAGTAACATTTTACTGTCAAAAGGTTGGTGGAATCAATTTCTGGAATGCAAAATCACATCTTCCCCTTGCAGTTATGGATTACGTTACCAGTATGGGCTGTTCCGTCAAGTCATAGTGGATGGCTTTCAACATGAGCAACCTGATTACTGGTTGAATTTTGGAAACCCTTGGGAGATAGAGCGGGTTCATGTATCATACACAGTCAAGGTTTGCAAGTACTGCTGCATTTCTATCAATTCTTAACTTCTTTCCTTTTTTTTTTTTGAACTATATATAATTTATTAGCTGTTTGACATTAGCTTTATATTCTCTGTATTCCATTTATTGCCTCAACTCTGACAACTGGTAATTTCTTTGATGGTAAGTTCTATGGGACTGTTAAAGAGGAACTTAGGAATGGAGAGAATTGTAAAGTTTGGGAGCCTGGAGAAATTGTAAGACAATAATCTTGAAAATGTTTCCCTTTTGTTCTACTTTTTGAAGATCCATGATTGTCCTTTATCTTGCTAGGTTGAAGCTGTGGCATATGACAATCCTATACCTGGTTATGGGACAAGGAATACAATCACTCTCCGCCTTTGGGCTGCTAAACCAAGTGATCAGCAAGATATGGTTGTTTGAATAAGTCCAGTAATTTTCTTTGAGAATGCATTTGTGAAGTGCTGTTACTAGTGGCATGATACATGGTGCATTTGTTTTTGAGTTATCAAATCTAACGGATTTCCTGCACCAATTTGGTACTTTTTAAAATTGGCAGTAGAACTTTGAATCATGTTTAAATCTGAAAATGTACTGCACTTTAAGCCTGGGCAAAAATAAAAAGAAGAAGAAGAAGTGAGCTTCAGCCTTTTTCTCTTAGTTGAAACTTGAAAATGTATTTCTTGGTTTTGTAACTTACATTAGGAATAGCTGATTCATTCTTTGCATCATATGCAGGAGTCCTATAATACTGGAGATTACATTAATGCTGTTCTCAATAGACATGGGTTAGAAAATATTAGTAGCATTTTGTACCCAGACGATCGTTCTTATCAGGTGTGTTTCTTTTTCTTCCTTTAAAGTGGTTGGTCTTTTTCAAACAGGGGATACCTTCTTATTTAAGTTATTTTCCATATCCATAACAATCATTATGATAGATTTCTGAGACCATATTATTCGCAATCTGGTAAAGTTGGCTGAACCTCTGCCATGAAAGATAGATATCATGCCAAACTTTTTCCTTCTGGACAACTTCAGTTCCACTTAGACTGTTCAGAGTTGCTATTATGATTTATATTTCTTTGAGGTGTTTCTTTCAGGGAAAAGAGTTGCGGTTGAAGCAGCAATATTTCTTTGTCTCTGCATCAGTACAAGACATCATCCGGAGATTCAAAGATACTCATAGTAACTTTGATGAGTTTCCAGAGAAGGTTCTTATCTACATACGTTTTGTCATAAAAGTATTTTTGCCAAATGCATATGTTGATACCTAAAAAGGGCTGTTGTTGAGTGAAGCTTATCAATTACGTAAACTTGATGCATGGCTTTCTGTCCATGTAGAAGATATTTCTCAACAATTCAGTTGTTGCTTTAGATGTACCTCATATATTCTTTTGACTCAACCATGCTTCTAATTTTTATGTAGGTTGCTCTTCAGTTGAATGATACTCACCCCTCTCTTGCAATTGCTGAGGTTATGAGACTGCTTGTTGATGTAGAGCATTTAGGCTGGGATAGAGCATGGGACATGGTCTGCAAGATTTTTTCATTCACAACTCACACGGTATCACGTGAAGGACTGGAGAAAATCCCTGTTGATTTACTGAGCAGTCTTCTCCCACGCCATTTGCAGGTGCACTTTTTCTAGAAAAAAGAATGCAATATCTATTCTGTCAAAAGGTCCATTGTTCCAGGTTTCAAGGAATAATTTCTGAGATTGAAACTTCACTACTTTCATGGGACAAGCTTCTTCCCTAGCAGAAAATTTTTCCATCATGTGCACATGCTTTTGATCCTGGATTGGGTAGAAATTTTGGTGCAGTGAATTTCTGCATTATTAACTTATTTGTAATTTCAGAATTGTATGATTTTCATTTTATTTTATAGAGCTGTCTTTTCAGATAATATATGACATAAACTTCAACTTTATGGAAGAGTTAAAGAAAAGGATTGGCTTAGATTATGATCGACTGTCCAGGATGTCAATTATTGAGGAAGGTGCTGTGAAGGTATCTCATAATGCCATTAAAACCATATCATGAACTTTACCCATACTTTTTGTCCCTCTTTCCACCTATCTGTGAATAAGTTCTTTTTTAAAGGGTTTTTTGTTTCTTATATATATACTATATTTTCAGTTTAGTAGTGAATTGGGAGAATGTCATGAAAACCAAAACTTTTAATTGTTTTTTTTCCCTATTTCATGATAGAGTATACGAATGGCAAACCTGGCAATTGTTTGTTCTCATACTGTGAATGGAGTTTCTAGAGTACATTCAGAACTGTTAAAAACAAGACTATTTAAGGTAAAATTAATTTTTTTTATGTGCTCATTATCACCTCCTTTTCTGTGCTGGCTTTATGATAAATTTGAATTTATTGAGCATCTTCATTGGCTTGAACTTACCTAAAGTACCTCTGCAGGACTTCTATGAGCATTGGCCTCACAAATTTCATTACAAGACAAATGGAGTAACCCAGGTTAAAATAAGTTGCTTTTTGACAAATGGCCTCACATTTTATCAGATTAAATTACTATATTATTAAGTTGCTTTTTGCTCTTAATATTTTGTTATCCTAGTTATAGATTAGTTGCTTCTTGGCAGTAAATAAGATTAAGAGAACTTCCTTCATGCTGCAAGGCATGATTTCTATTCAATAAAACTGCATCAATGGTAAAGTTTATCCACACGTATAGCACTTTTGATCTATGGCATGTGATTTCTCAGCGTCGCTGGATTGTTGTGAGCAATCCTGGTTTATCTTCTCTTATATCAAAATGGCTTGGAACAGAAGCTTGGATCCGCAATATTGACCTCTTAACAGTTTTGCAAGAACATGCATCTGATCCTGATCTGCATCGAGAATGGAAGATGGTAAATTTTTACGTTTAATAAACTTGTGTTTCATGGGAAACAAAATATACGATAGGTTTGATCATTAATTTATCATGTTATTTATTTTGTAGGTTAAGAAGGTCAACAAAATGAGGCTTGCTGAATACATTGAAGCAATGAGTGGCTTGAAGGTTGCATTTAGAGCTTTTATTTTATCTCTTTCTTGTCTTTTTCTTTTATTTTATGGTCTTTTACTAACTTTTGTAGCAATCATATGTTGACGATATTAATGCCACAAGTGCAGGTCAGCATCGATGCAATGTTTGATGTCCAAACAAAGCGGATACATGAGTATAAGCGACAACTGCTCAATATCCTTGGAATTATCCATAGATATGATTGTATCAAGGTTAATACAAAGCTATCGTGCAGTGAACAAATTAATATTTCAAGTGAATTTATTGAACTGTATGTTTCTTCTGAAGCATGAGTCATTAACTTCTGCTTGTTACAAATTATAAATGTTGGTTGTTTCCATATTCTGGTGGGTGTTTGCAGATACCAACTATCATGTTCATTTCAAGTTTTACATTGAATTCTATACTTGCTTGTTTCTTGCTTATAGTGTTCTCATTTGATGCAGAATATGGACAGCAAGGATAGGAAAAGGGTTGTACCTCGTGTCTGCATAATTGGAGGGAAAGCTGCTCCTGGTTATGAAATCGCAAAGAAAATCATCAAACTTTGTTATGCAGTTGCAGAAAAAATAAACGATGATAGTGATATTGGAGATCTTTTAAAGTTGGTACGTCTGTTTTGTATATTCTGTATGTGATTGTGGATAGAAATGTGAATGCCTGTGTCAATACATGCTGAGGTGCATGTGTGCATGTATGTTTAATTGAAGGGTGGGAAAATGCCTATGAATAATGTAAATCAAGAGAACCTTTTATGATGATCATGAGGAACTGTCCACATTATTTAATCATTTACTTGCTTAGAATTCCCCAGCCCAGCCTGAAACAACAAGAAAACTTTTAGTGATTTTTAATTAGGGCTTTCTATAAATAATATCAGGCACTAGCCTAAGGATTACATCTGTACTCTATTTTTCCCATATAGTCTGGCCCATGAATTTTCTGATTTTGGTTTACTATTTTTGCAGGTTTTCATTCCTGATTATAATGTTTCTGTTGCTGAGCTGGTAATACCTGGGGCAGACCTTTCACAACATTTAAGGTATCTAAAAACTACAACTATTCATTTGCAAGATCCTTTTGTTTTATTTTCAGTTGACTTTCTTCACCTCACTTCTTATATTGCTTAATGGTGATTAACCTGTTGTCCTTGACCTCCCTATCTAATCTTGTTATTTTAGCTGGCAGTGAAATACATAACTAACAACTAACAAGTGAAATATCAAAACTATATGGACCTTTGCTTCATGAATCATAATTTGTCATATTGCTTTTCCAACTTCTGATTTGCAGAGAGCAGGCTGTGCCCCTGGTGAGTTATTAGTTCACCTCATATCTTGTAAAAAAGAAATGTCAAACCCCCCCACCGACCTTATCCTTGGATAATATCATATTTTTCCAAATTTAGTTTGCCTTCCTAAAGAATATAATATAATTATGTAAGTGTCAATATAATGCCAAATGAGAACGTATATTTGTCCTCTGTCCCAAGCTTATAACCATGTGTGATAAGTAATGTAGAACTTACTTCATGTTATTGTAAAACCAACTAGTGACTCATTGAGTTGCTGTATTGTAATTTGTAAAAATGGTGAAAATCATCAATGTGATTTTAGTAGTAAAACACAATTTTTTATTGCAAAATTATCATGAATTACTGTCATACATAATTAATGATATTCTAATATTTTAAAGAAAAAATAGATGGAATCAATAGATAATTCAAGAGAAAGTTTTCTTTTAGGTTAATGAAATAATACATCAGTAGACGTTCTAATTAGACTTACTTTTATAGCTTCATTGGAGCCTGGAGTTTAGAATCCCAAAGTATGTTCGTACTTCTGTTGCATAATCTGCCTGATCCTTATGCAGCACTGCAGGACACGAGGCATCAGGAACTGGCAGCATGAAATTCTTAATGAATGGATGTTTACTTTTAGCTACAGAAGACGGGTCTACAATTGAAATTATTGAAGAAATAGGAGCTGATAACATGGTGAGTACCACTTTTCATGAGGTAATGGATATCTTTTTGAAACAGTAATTAGGTGAAAGAATTGACAGGTGTTTATGTTTCTGAAGGTGGAATATTTGAAAAGAAAATCATTTTGGTTTTT